TATATATATATATATTGCAATGTTTACATAATGATTTCCATTTTTCATATCCAGATCATACAAAGAGGGACAATTATTAAACCAAGCAAACTCGGGTGAGCCCATTTAGATCTTAGCAAACCCATTTTCATTCTAATTTAATTTCGAAGAATGTGCTGTGAGAGAATGATTAGATTATTATTTATTATTACATAACTGAAATATATTTAATTATATTTTTACCATTAATCAATAATTAAATTTACTTTAAGATAATACTTAAATTTTCATTATTTAAAAAACTATAACTTCCTGCTTAATCCAACTCTAAACGTGACTCAATTTCAATTAGCAATGAATCAATATCAATCTATTTCTTCAAATAGAAAAATTGAATTCCTGATAATATAATAGTCCTAGCCTATAATTAAGTCTTGTATTATACATCAGGACACAATGTACAATCTAAATGCTATTGTGGGAATGGCTGAACTTTCATACGACATTGTAGTAGTTTTAAATGATGTGTAGTAGAAGCATTTGCAGTTTTGAGATTCTAATTCATGTAAGTGTGCTTTATCAGCTCAATTAGTTCAGCCCCTTATTTCAATCAGTTAAAATTTAAACTTCTTTTATAGACTGTCATATTGCTAGTGGTCAGTAAGCACAAAAGCCTGGCTTTAGTAAATTTATGTATAAATCATAGTCCTAAAAATTATCCACACTTGCAAAGACCAGTTTTAGGAAAAAAAATTCATAAGAAATTATAATATAATATTATATTATTTAAAGATATCTATTTAGTTTGTTAGGCATCTTTAAATCATATTTCTTCAAATGATGTTTATGTTACTTGCTAACAGTGTCATAGAGATAATTCTGTAAATAAACTAAATAGCAGTTCACCTACATATCACATTAAAATAGTAGTCGTATAACATTTGGAGGCAAGTGTTGAGGGCGAATGGCTGGAGGTGGCAGGACTCCAAATGCAGGCACAACTGCATAATGCTTTAAATACAATGAAGAATGGCTAGGTACACTTGGCCTGCCTGATGGTGAAGCCCATGACTGCGTGGAGACTGCAGAGATAGGTACGCGAGAATATGGATAAAGTTTTTTTGGGGTTAGAATTTCCAAATGTCAGAATAATTATATGCTTGCGGATAAATGGAATGACATGCTTGGCTATATCTACACTTTTGCCTACATAACCAAAAGAGACCTGCAGGCGCAAAGTAAGAAAACATTCTCAGTTGAAAGAGTTCAAAAGAAAGAGCATTTACAGGAGGACAATAAAAATAATTAAAAAAAAACTAAATTAATCATTCACAGCATTTTGGGATTTTGTTCTATCAAAATTTTTAGTAAGGATTTTCTAGTTTGTGGTAACAAGTTATGGCAGATTCGAAGATATCTCAGTTTATTTACCTTTTTAAAGATAATATAACAATATGTATATTACGTCATATTCAATTTTCATAATCAGAAAGTGATTCTTAAACGCACACATTCTGCGACAGACTGCTTGATATATCGTTATAAAAGCCATCATCATCATTTGCGTATCCCAAGAAACAAAGGTTGGCCTTATAAATCCATATTTAGTAGTTCCTATAGAGTAATACATGAGGTGTTTACCTCATTTTGCACAGTTGCTACAAATGCTAACATTGATCTAAACATTGCCTAAACCCCAACCCTTCACATTAATTCTACCTGACCTCTTGGTGCATCTTTTGACAATAAATATTAAAGCCATCTTAGAGATCGATCAAGAAACTACATATATCATACATCATTCCCTTTGAATATCCGATAAAAAACACAAGGAATATATAAAACTTTAAAGTTACATGCATAAAATTCTTGGAACGATAAAAGAAAGTGGATGATCGTATCTTCGGGATCTATCTTGGATCCGGAGGCAGAGATATTGTCCACAATAGATTTGATATGGGAAAGGTATAGTTGAATGCTAAGATCTTTGAGTTGAACGTGGTATAGTTCATTCTTTAACTGGATGACGCGGGAGCGGCTTGTTGGTTGGAGACGACGTTCAAGAACCGTCCATGCCTCATGAGTGGTGGTGGAGGTGATGATATAAGGAAGAATATATTGAGAAATCGTAGAGAATAAAGCAGAGAGGAGATTACTGTCAGCGGTTTGCCAGATTTTGTACTCAACGGTGGAAGCGTCTACCGGAGGAGAATTTTGCCCCGTGAGATGACCGGCGTAATCATTGGCAAGGAACTGTTGAAGAATTTGTGTCCGCCATATGGGATAATTTTCAGACGTGAGGGAGTAGGGAATTAAGTTCTTGATGTTAGAAACCAGGAATTTGAGATTGGCTGGAATGTTGAAGGCGGTGGAGGTTGAAGCAGAGATGGCTGTGTAGGAGGGAGGGAGCGGACTGATGGATTCTTGATCTCCCATGGTGGCTCTTGATACCATGATAGAGACACGGCAAGAACCGTGGAGGAGAGGAAAGCAAGGAACAGAGACAAGATAGCAAAAGTAGAAAGTGAAATATTATTCATCTCTGATAAGGTACAGAGGAGCTCAATATAAAGAGTTTATAATGGTATATGTGAAAATAAATGAAACAGTAGTGTTATATTCTAATAATATATTCATCTTCTCATTTCTATATATGCTAGCTTTCTCTTGCCTGTGTCTCTTAGGTCGTGCAGAATATTTGCCGAATCTCAAACATTAAAATGAAGAGTCATACAGTTCTTTCGGAACTAAAATAGTCAGTTTCACGTATATTTGAAATCATTGAGTGTTTGACATATTTATTCCCCTTTTTTTTTTCATCTACAATAAAAATTATAGACCTCAAAAAACTCGTCAAAATTGTTATAATTTTTGAAATATAACACTTTTTAGAATTAAAATTAAAATTTTGAGAAAACTCAAATGAATAATTATGTTAAAACCCCTTTTTTCAAAGTCTACTTGTTAATAATACTAATAATATATTTTTTATGCTCACTATATCATAACTGCGTAAACTTACAAATAGCTATACTTCAAATTTTTCATTCAATGAAAAGCAATTGGTTCAAATATCATATTACCTGCATCTTAAAAATATTAAAAAAATGACATATTTGAAGGCTTAGAACTTACCAGGTAGATAGACCATTATTAGAACAACTCCAATCATAGCTTACTAAATTTATATGATATATTTGGTTCTTGCCGTGTCTATATCTTGTGTCATTCATTTAAGATACTGTTGGTTTCGTATTCGGTAATGGAAGGTCTATCTACCTGGTAAGTTCTAAGCCTCCAAATATATCATTTTTTTTTAATATTTTTAAGATGCAGATAATATGATATTTGAACCAATTGCTTTTCATTGAATGGAAATTTTGAAATATAATTATTTGTAAGTTTACGCAGTTATGATATAGTGAGCATAAAAATACATTATTAGTATTATTAACAAGTAATCTTTGAAAAAAAGGATTTTAACATAATCATTCATCTGAGTTTTCTCAAAATTTTAATTTTAATTCTAAAAAGTGCTATATTTCAAAAATTATAATAATTTTGACGAGTTTTTTTAGGTCTACAATTTTTATTATAGATGAAAAAAAAGGTGAATAAATATGTCAAACACTCAATGATTCCAAATATACGTGAAACTGACTATTTTAGTTCCGAAAGAACTGTATGACTCTTCATTTTAATGTTTGAGATTCGGCAAATATTCTGCACGACCTAAGAGACACAGGCAAGAGAAAGCTAGCATATATAGAAATGAGAAGATGAATATATTATTAGAATATAACACTACTGTTTCATTTATTTTCACATATACCATTATAAACTCTTTATATTGAGCTCCTCTGTACCTTATCAGAGATGAATAATATTTCACTTTCTACTTTCACTATCTTGTCTCTGTTCCTTGCTTTTTTTGAATAAAATTTTGAGAAAACTCAGATGAATAATTATGTTAAAATCCCTTTTTTCAAAGACTACTTGTTAATAATACTAATAATGTATTTTTTATGCTCACTATATCATAACTGCGTAAACTTACGAATAGCTATATTTCAAAATTTCCATTCAATGAAAAGTAATTGGTTCAAATATCATATTACTTGCACGACCTAGCAGGTCTTGCTTTTAACGGGATTAGGTGAAACTTATGAATCATACAAACCCACATGAGAAACGCACACGAACACAAGATAGAAATCCTGCGATGCAAGGGCTGATAAGGCATATCCCTATAATCACTTTGTGGATTAAAAATTAAATCGAGCACTCAAGCCACACTTCTTTATGATATTTACATAACTTATTCAAATACAAACCCTAATTAAAAAAGCCATTAAAATAGTGTGTTTTATATGTATGTGAGTGTGTTTGTGTTCTTCTTCATCTATTTATCCCTGTCTATTTAACAAATTATGAATAAATTTTTAAAACTAAAATTTATAAATAGAATAGCTTACTAAATTTATATGAAATATTAGACCTACTGTCTTGAACAAATGTACTTAAAATTTGTGTCATGCATTTGACGTAAAAAATAAAATATGCTGGCAAAAAAATGAGTGAACTCCAATGCAACTCTTTTAAAAATAAATCAAAAGGAATTTATTAGTTCCGTCACGCTTTGAGTGGCCACTATTGAATTTATGTTCTTTTATTTTTAGATATCAAATTTTTAAAAAGGGAGAGAAAATATCTCATACAAGATTTTTAGATTTCAAATTCATGGAAAAGTTATTTCTCCTCATTTCTAAAATTTTAAATCTAAACATAAGAGAATGACAATTCAAAATGAAGTATTCTTCTGGCCCATCTACTTTTTAGTTTCTCTCCCCAGTTTTCTGTATTATATAAAATTCTTCTGATATCAATATCTTATTCTCATATATAACATTTAAATTCTAAATCATCATGAGTTTCTTTTGAAATAAAAGTGGATGTTGCTACCGTCAGACTCACCCAACTATCGGTGACTTGAGTTTTGTTAAAGTAGACCAATCTTGTTAGAACCGGCTGGACCTATTCAATTGAACCGGTCCACTAAAATAGACACATAGTAATATATATGACAGGTGTTATCAAATCCAAATAAGCAAGCTAATTTATATTTGGAAAGCTCTTATATATTCCACATTAAGCAATGCATGACTTTTCAAATATAAAAAAAAACTATCATGGACAAAATAGTAATTCATTGAGTATAATATACTTTCCATCTAAAAATACAAAAGTATTACAAAATAAGTGATACCTGCACCGTTGGAGATCGTCTGTGGAAGCACCAAATGAAGGGATAATTTCTTGAAGACCATTCAAAAAATCATTCATGGTAACCTTTATATTTTCTTCGTCTAATGGTTTAGTGAGATCATCCATGTTTATTTGTCTATTGTAGGCAAATGAAACAGCACTTTTCACAACACCTTCTAGTTCAGCTCCGCTATAATTCCTTGTCCTTGCAGCTGTGTATTCATGATTAAAAGACGATAAAAAAGATAGTCAACCTTCCTCTTTTTTTCTCATAATACAATAGCTTTTTTGCATAAAATTTGTTCAAACATAATAATCCAAATTCATCAACTACAATGATCTTAGAAAACAAATAGGAAAAACAAATGGACAAAAAAATCAAACAAAAAAACAAGCAACTCTCCATTGTTAAGGGATGAAGGGACGTTTATTTTAATTTTTTATCATGCTACCTTGCCATCAAAGAAGCTTTATTTATGTACTTCTAACATTTCTTCAAAATCAAAACCAACAAAGACAATGAAAGGCATTCTATGCCTGCAAACATGTGATTACATATTAATCAATTAAATATCATAAATGGAGAAGACATTTGTAAATTGGTAACAATGTATAAAACAAACTAGTGAATGTTGAATAATTTCTTTGTTTGCATGCTCAATACAAGTCAAGAATAAATAACTTTTAACAGCCAGAAGTAGACATGTTAGCTCAATCGTTGACTTGGATGGCAAGGGATGAGGATTTGAAATGTTATGACTTATGCAACAATCTTTGCCAAATTCACCTAGGAGAGTTGAATGTGATGCTAATTAAAACTAAGCTGAGAAAGAGTGACCATTAACATTCCTGTATTTGATGCATGTTACTTCTAAAGTTCATAAATTATGACTCTTTCATAAACAATAATATTTTTATTAATGACTTTAATGTCTTTCAACAAATTTAAAATAAAAAAAAATAATTAACATATTAAACCTAGCAAATAATAAATAATTCAAAACACCCAAAATCAATTCCTCATAACATTACAAAAAAAAGTTTGAGGGAAAATAATATTCCACACAATTCTCATTTGATCATTATAATCACTAGTCTTATTCCAAATATTTTGAGTCAGACTTTATGAATCATATTTGTTCTTCATTCCTATTATGAAGATCATAAAAAAGATGTATTTAATTGATAAACATCAATAATAAATTAACAGATAATTCTTATGAATAAATTTTATATATGAACAAGCAGCTTAAATTGAAATAACAAATTATTTAAAATAAATGATTTATTACAATTTATATAAAAGATATAACTTCAAAAGAAAATCTATTGATAAAATATTTATCCAAAATTTATTTTTTCATGAATAAAATACTATAAATGAAATACATAAAATATATTGTAAGTGCTATGAGTTTTGGACTTTAAGATTGAGTGGAATATTAAAAAAAAAACTAAAATATTATTTTAGAATTAAATAGGAGCATTTAAAGAACACTAACAAAAAATTTTTGAGAGAGATTCAAAATCTTATGATTTTGTTTGCGCGTGAGGAAGCTAATGTTATGTCAAAAGAAAAACTAGTGATATTAAGAATGTTGCAAAAGGATATGTTTGGGGTTTTAAAAAAAACCCATAATAGTTAAAAATAGTTGGTCATAAAATCAAAATGTGTAAGAAAAGATAAAAAATAAGAAGTTTTGATATAAAATTTGGCTTAGATGTAAAAGCTTAGAAAATCAAAAAATATATAAAGATACCCACAAGGAGTCTAAGAAAGTAATATGTGATGAAAAGAATTTAGCTTGTAATGATTTATATAATATATTATATACTAAGGAGTGCGAAATATATATGTAGAAGTTAGTCATGCAGAGAGATAGGAGAAGTATTTAGTTCAAGTGAATTGTATTAAAGATGAAGATAAAAAATGTTTTTATTAGATATTTTGGCATGCTTTTCAATGAAGACTATAAGAATATGATTGATTTTAGTTACTTTAGCACCCTAAATGAAAATAGAGATTTGTGCTTTTATCGACATAATAGTAAGACCAAAGTTAGAGGCTTTAAAGAAAATGAAGTATTGAAAAGTTGTTGGACATGATGATATTTCAATTGATGTGTGGAAATGCTTATAGGGGAGGAAGGAATTTTTAGGCTTATGAAAAATTTTAATTTAATTTTGAA